CGTGCAGAACTACTGATGCATTCGCCTAGAAAAGACAGTCACTGCACTTGACAGCAATTACTAGAATGTTCTTGTGGGATACTGACATACAAGCGGCTATAAAACTGCTTCTTTCCTTCACATCTGTAGTTACCAGAAGGCTTGACTGCAGCAGATGGAACCTTGTATATTATGAGCTTTCAGTAGAGCTATAATCAGATTTGCCAAGACTAGAAAACATTATTTTAATCTCAGGAATTTATAGTTCAGAAAGCCAACAACAATAACATTTTAGATCCACAGCATCTGCTTAACATAAACCACAGAGACAAAAATCGGTTTCTTTCAAGTCTATTGGTAGTAGTGGCTGTTCCAGCTCATCTTTGTTTGGTCAGCCGGTGTCTGGCACCATCATCATTCTTAAGAGTTTCCAAATCAAACTGAAAATTCCATGTATCCCACCTACACGCAGAAATTCCAGACAGATTGTTGGAATGCAATGCGCACACGCTCCCTGGAGGGATGCATCCTCCTTACCTAATTCCAGAAAGTATTAGGCACAGATTGGCAAAAGCCAAGGCTTAGGGACCCCAGAGTACATGTTGGGGTACTGCTGGAGTCTGACCCGCAAAGCCGCATAGTTTGCCATCAATAGCACTGCCTGCCAAACTTTCCCGCTGCTTGTCCAGTTAGGATCACCCTACCCTTAGGGCTTTGGCTTTCAGGGTTAACAAGATTCCCTGCCCCTCGTGACTGATCTGTTCCTCCAAGGGGCCAGACTGGCTGTGCCCTTTGGACCTGTCTGGCTCAGGAACCACACGATTGAGATTGCCACCGAGGGCTGGCTTGATTCTTAAATTCCGTTGCCAAACGCTTCACCTTGGAGTCAGTTGAGCTCCAAGAAGACCCGGCTTACCTACCAGTCTCTGCAATTTCATTAGATCATATGCTCAATTTGTTACAAAAAAAACAAAAGATTCTGTTAGGATAATTCCAACAATGAATGTTAAAACATCCATTTTCTGGTCTGGAAATATTTCCAAATTCATTAATTCACTCAAGTAAATATTTTGCACTTAACCATTATAATTGAAAATGTGGAATGTTTCATAACTCCCTCATATCTACAACAAACAATAAATTACATTTGTATAGCGCCTTCACGTCAGGAGACGTGCCGAGAGTCCAGAACATGTACTCCTTATTCCAGACTGACCAGTAAAATTCTCAGACCAACCTGTATCTGCCCACAGCCCGCTTAACAGGATTAGAAGAGGTTTGAATGAACCAGTGAAAGTTCGGTGCAGGCAGAAGTCATTCAGCTTTTCTTACACATGCCCTGATAGCTTCGTAAAGGACTTCTCTACTCCAATCCCACTTACATGTTCCTTTGCTCTGCGAGTGAGGAAAGTTCATGTGGTTTGAGACTTTTTAAATTTGGTATTAACTTACAGAAGAACTTACATCATTGGCCATTTATAATATTGAGTTTCGCCACGGAATTTACAGCCCACGCCATCGGGCTGAAAGAGGAAACATTTGCAGAAAGCAACATGAGGGCACGTAGAAGGGATTCCCCAACTTAAATGGTCACAAAACGACAATGGTTAAAAAGAATTTCCCCGGCTAGGATGACATGAATTTCAGGAGGGGGCAAAGAAAATCAGTTCCACACAATAGTACGAAAGTTCCTGTACCAGTATTATTAACAGACTTCTTTTTGCCAGTAACAGTTCTTCTTTTTCATTTTTAGAAAAATGCAGTGCTACTTTGTACCAGGCCGACAACGTTAGGTCTCACCAAGATTGCTCATCGCTTTTTCGACACAAGCTGAGGCACTTGTGCTCCCAGCTGATAAATATTGGACTGCACAACATTAGATCACACAACACAATAGGTCCCATTCACTCAGAACTGTAACCCAGAACATCAATAACTGAACAGGGAAATAGCACTGCGTCACCAAAATCCAATGCCTTTAGTCTCCACAACTAATTTTCAATAGGTCTATTTGGTTATCTTTTAGAACCCAACCCCTGGAGCAATAACAATTGATTTTAAATGTCCCAGAAGCAATACTTAGCCTCCATTTGATTCCCACTTTTCCATGTAGCTGCAAGTTTTTGACATACTCATTTCTGCTTTTTAGTTTGACTCAGGTTCTGCAATTCATATTCTGCTCCACTGAAACTTTTCTATTCTTTGCATTGGTTTCTCTTTCTACTACAAGTTTGTGCAACATGGGCCGCTGCTGTAGGATGGGAACAGCAGTAATGGCCCTCAAGATTTGAGTACATTGAATACGCATAGCATAAGATCCGTGTTTGCACACTAAGAGTACAACTTTGTATTGCTTCAAGAAAGGAATGCAATGGGTTAAAGATCGAGAGAAAATTGGAGAAGGGAAACATGCTTAATGATACAGCAGCATTAAGCTTTAATCAATGCTGATTCAAGAGAAACTATCCACGCGGACTAAAGGCTTTTTAAAAAAAATTGGTGGTTATTACTCAAATTACGAAATTTGGAGCAAATAAAGAATATTGGGCATAACAAATTCAAAGTGCAACAGATCACTGAATAACTTTTCGCGATCTTTTTGAGGAGAAAGGGCCTTTGTATATTCTCAAAAGGGAAACGTAATAGCAAATCTTCAGTCCGCCCAACCTCCACCGGCAGAACGTATGGAATTTCTCATCCTGAAAGACATCTCACTCTTTGATAGGCACTATGTGTTTGTGCGCTTCCTATGCAATTGTATAGCTGTTTGCCTTTTTCTGTGTGGAAGATAATTTGAAGACTAGCAGCCGTTGGAATATGTGAAATTTGTTCTCTATCCAGATGATAAATTAGCTTATTTTTGAATGGGATCAAAACCACATTTAGTTCGAACATAGACCACAGTTCACAGTATTGACAAGCCTTGCTCGGACATCGTAAATGTATAACCCAACTAAATGAAACAAATTTGATCTGCCATACAGCTTGCATCTATCCAATTTCTCCAAGCTCCTGAACTGTCAAATATTAAGAGAGCTACGTCACTGTTATATTCACCCAAACGCAATGAATATATTAAGACAACTACTAAAACAAAGCAGACCAATGATTCCTCTGCAGTCCTTCTATATTGCTTTCTTTAATATTAACTCCTTTTTTATTTTACATTTAGAGGAATTATTGCCAACCTATTCTAACTTTTTTTTCATGCATTTCTCCCTTTCACTTACATTTCTGCTTCTTCCTTCCAGCTCTCACCGTCCATTTTGGAAGGTGGGAGCAACATTTCTGCAAAGTAATCGTCATTGGCTCAAAACCAGCCAATGTAATAGTAAAAGACTGATGATTGACAGCAACTCTGCTTCAAGTCAAATAGGAAGTGGGAGCAACGAGACTGTGCACACATCAGAGGCACCCACCAGAGACACCATCCTATCTTCCTTAATTCCTTCCACTCATCACCCATTGAGGTGATCAGCAGAATTTATACTAAATAAAGTTGATCAATAAAAAAATACATTTGACTATTTTGATTCTTGAATTGTTTACTAAGTGTTGATGGTGAGACGTTCTTTCATAATAAAAATAATCCTTGCACTTGGTATATATAGCGCCTTATCACTTCAGACGGATTTACTGTGAAATGGAGCGATTATGTATTTGTAGGCAAACGCGGCAGCATAATTTCACACAATGTTCCACAAACAGCTACGAAACAAATAACCAATTTTTATTTAGGGAATTGTTGGCCAGGACACTGAAGGAACTCCCTTGTCTTTCTGAATAGTGCAGTGGGATCTTTAGCATCCACCTAAACAGGTAGATGGGACCTCAGTTAACGTCTCATCCGAAGGACGGCACCTCCGACAACGCAAACTTGTTTGTTGGACACTGCTGTGTTCAATTGGCTGCCGCGTTTCATCCACAAAATATATAGTCAATTCACTTTTCAGTATATTCTATGAAAGGCTTTGAGAAGTCTCAAAGACGCGATAAGGCACTATAACAAATGCCAGGATTATTATTATTATCAACATATAGAAATAATTAAAAAACTATTGAAAACAAATGTACATTTCCAAGTAATTAATTGCCAGTTATTTCATACTGAGGCAGTCACTTAATAATTAATAATCCTCTTGTGCAAATGTGAACCGTTATCAAGGGCACGAAGCCCAAAGACAGGTGGGATCTATACTGACAGCTGCTGCTAACACAATAACTACGAAATTAGATTATTGCCTTATTATCAATCTCAAGTATTCATACTCCATAAATACTTTCCATAAATACACATTAGTATGGAAATATTCAGCTGGTCATGTTTTCTATTTCCTCCCTCGGTTCCTTTTGTGAAACATTTAAAATGTGCAGTGGAATCCAGCTTCACCAAATGGAAATTGGAATAGTCAAATATTTAGCCAGCCTATTATAGCTGACTGAATACTGAATTCTCAGTTGAGGCCACACGCACCTCTATCCTTCTATGTTAATTCTCATCTCTATTCCATTCTCTTCCTCCCATATCCCGACAAAGCAAACCTAGAATCAAAACACTGTAAAAGTTGACGATATTTTACGTTAAGTCTAAACTAGATGGGAATATGTTGAGCATTAACACAGAATAATCATTCAGCTCAGAAATCATTAATACTTTTGCATATTGACAGTGAATTCCAAGACTGCTGCACAATGGCGTTTTTTTGCAAACAAAATTTTCCTGGAAAAGGCTAGGAATAAAAACAAATAAGAGGCCTTTAAGCTTTCTCCTTCACAGCAGCAAGCCAACTTCTACCCAATAACGAAAAGAGGTCAACAGAGGCACTAAGTGACAACTTTTTCTGCATGCCCGTGAAAAGCTTCTCCGATAGACACTATTTCAAGATGTAAATGAACACCACAGTACCATGGCCAATCAGAAGCATTTTGTACTCCTTCCTGCCAACGCATGTAAGATTAGACACCAGAAATAAGCTGAAACATAGCCATTAATGTATGTGTACAAGAAAGGAAGGTCTTACCTTTTAAATAAAATCACTTTTAGCATAAGCAGTAAAGGGGTCTTTCTGACAACTTCAGCCAGAACCTGTAGAACAAAACAAAGTTTTATTAAAGCAACAATTAAAACAAGTTTCTCAGCTTACACACTATTACATAAGACAGGATACAGCAACCAACTTTTAAAAAAAAGTCACTTCATTATTGTACAATATCTTGTGAAAGGTACTAGGATGTGTAGAAAAAAAGTCTTCCACTCTGCAAGCCAAAGTCTTAATTTGTTTGTGTGTGTGTGTGCGTATGTGTGTGTTTGTGTGTGGGGGAGGATGGGGGGGGTGGGTGGCGGGGGGAGGAAGGGGGGTGGGTGGCAGGGGGAGGAGGGGGGGTGGGTGGCAGGGGGAGAGAGAGAGAAGGGACTCGGTCCCAGTTGAGTGTACTTTGCAGCATAAACCACCCTTGAAAATAATTCTTAAAACATTCCATTCCAAGTCTACAGTTCCCTCACTGCTTATCACTTTTACTCAGTAGCAACCAAGTTTGACAGCAAAAAATAATAATTTGAGATAACCCTGAAAGAAAGAAACATAAACTGCTTAGCTGGCCTGGCAGATACACCATACCAACCAGCACAAGCAGCCAGTGATACATTACTTACTAAGGATACTTGCAGTTTCAGCAAGAACAGAGATTTTCATAACGTAAATTTCGCCCACAAACGATTACACTATTAGTATATATCTTACAGTCACTAAATACTACAATGTCACCTGTCCAAATAAAAGGAATCACTAAATTGAAACCAGTAAAACTAGTTCCTTCCCATAATTTATACCACAGATTTTGAATACATAAGCTACTGGAGAATACATGCTACACAATAGTTGACCACGCACTTGGTCAAAAGTGCAGTGCTACCCCAGGACAGTGCTGATCCTGTATGCATGTACAACACTGGAACCCTTTCTTCAATCATGTTTTAAACTTCACTTTTGAGTTTGGCAAGCAATAACATTCCCTAAACTCACCAAAACCACTACAAACAGCAAAATAAATTTTGCTCAAATTACCAGCTTCCTGATACCAAATAGCAAAACCATAGACCTTTCTAAAATAAGAATAGTACTAGTGTTGCTATATATACACACTTAGATTAAGGAAAAGTTGATAAATCTATCAAGTAAAGCTCCTTTGACTGTAGTATCCGATATCCAATTTCATTATTTAGATCATCTAATAAGCTTTACACAGACTTGCAGTAAAACTCCATTGACCTTTCTATAACCTGTTTATTTTATGAATTCAATTTAATTTAAACCTAAAACGCTGCACAAAGTGTTAAGACCGCAATCGGTAGGAAACTTGGCTAATGTATCCAGAAAGGTTGTAGTGACTCAGTGGACAGTCACTAATCTCACAAGCAAGATCAAGTAGCAACATAAAAATGCAGTCAAACAAGCGAGAATGATTAACTCAGGCCACCAACATCAATTTACTCTGCCCCATTCAATTCTGAAAGGAAAGGATAAATCACAGGACACAAACCGTCCTGATCAAGAAGGCTCTTTGGTCCATTTGATATTGTTTCATATTCTTTCAGAATACCAACCATCTTCCCATTGCAGCATCAAGACATTTCTCAAATGAATCCAACATTCTAGCTGCAAGCAATCATCATGGTAAACCATCATAACTATAGATCACCCTTGGTGCAACTAAATACTTTCTGGTGTTTGTTCTAAAATTTCTCTTCAATTCTCGTCCTGTGTCCTCCAGTCCTTTGGTATATCTGAAAATATTTTGAATTGATTATTCAGTTTACACTGTGTGTGGAATAGAGCCATTTACAAATTAGCTGCTGCATTCGCTTACAAAATAGTTACCACACATTACTGAAACTCTGAAGCTCTTCGAGCACTCAATCAAATAAGGACTTATTATTATTATTATAAAAATCAAGTCAGTCACTAGTTAGCTTCCTTCCATCAATCTCGCCAGTGTTAGCGAATAGTTTCCAGTCTGTGATTGGATGATACTATAGATATGAAACTGATTAAGAAAGCATATTTTTAACGAAGATCTAATTTTCAAAGCACTATTGAATTTTGAGTAAGATAAATCATCTCATACAGTGGAATATGCCGCTCTAATCCCAGTTCTCTGCCAGTTCCCCTGTTCCCTCCTCAAATGCTTAGGCAATCAATACCTTGATGAAAACAGAAAGGACTTTTAAGCACGAATACACTGATCGTTCTGTGTTGCAGTCCAAAGCAAAGTATTGCCTTCAGTGTATTTAATATATTGCCTCTGCAGCTATATTTGTCTTGAAACAAGCTACTCGTTCCTGAACTATGCTACTAGTATACCAGCTGCATTCGTTTATTTTCATCAGTCCCCTCCATGCCTATTAGAAGTGCTAAACAAAACCATTTATCTTCATAAAATGTGTTAAGATGAAACATTCTAGCAGTCTCAAGGCTCTGCTATCAATTATCAGTACAATTGTTTCCGTGTGTCTTTTCTTCACTCTTAGCATAGTTCAACAGATCTAAAAACAATTATGAGAGAGAGCTGTACGTACTTTGTAATCGCTTATCACAGGTCCCCTTCTTCTATGCTCTGAGACGTTCCCCTGCGTGAGGAACACTATACAGCAACAGCAAGTTGCTGTTGAAGTTGTTCTTTGCCCGTCATTAAGGATAAAAGAAACATCTTACAGCTACCCTTGCTGTAATTGGCAAACGCAGTACAGATCAGGAATCAAACCAGGGGCCTTCCCAGTCGATAGGGTTCAGCTCCACAATGTGCCACAAGTCATTATCAACGAAATAAAAGAGGAGCAATTACAACAATAACTTGCACTTATATAGCGTCCTTCACCCCGAAGTGCAAGTTGTTGTCAATTATCATACTTCTATTCTGATTTTGTCAATCCATTCGCAATGGGTTAAGTGTACAGTAGTGTGCTGAATCATATCATTATTTTAGAATAATAATATAATAAACAATAACAAATTGGTCATTTTTAATCCACAACTATTTGTGGGACACTGCTGTGCGCAATTGGCTGCCGCGTTTCGCCCACAAATATACGGTCAATTCACTTTACAGTATATACTGTGAAGCACTTTGAGACATCTAGAAGACGTTAAAAGCTCCATATCAAATGCAAGGATTCTTATTATAACTTAGAATATGAAAGAAACCATAACAAAAGTTGAAGGTATTAGGTTGCATTACTTAATACAGATGTACTAGAGATACAGATTGTTTTAAACAAAACAGCACTTTACAATTTCTGAACTGATACAATAAAACTGATCATAAAACAAAGAAACTAAAAATCCACTGATCCTTGATCTGTACTGAGTCTGGTTTGGTCAGTAGGATATCTTTTTTGGCCACAATGTCCTTGGGCAATGTCATTGGCAATTAAATCATGGCATTAGAAGTGTTGGATACTTGAGGAAGAGAGGGCTTTGTGACTTGCAGGTCCAGGAGAATAGCTGAGCAGTCTGTGGAGTTACACGACAGTCAATCAGAGCATACCAGAATGTGGAAACACTTTAGCTTACACTGACGATATAAAGTTTAGCGTGTTTTATCACGGTTTCTGAATTGGTAGGCAGTTGGAAATATTGGAAGCAGAATTTGCTAGTAACTCCTGAAAAACACAAAAAGGGTGGCTCCTTAGATACTGTGGGTTTCCTGTTCATTTCCCTGCTAGTTTTATAGGTTTCAAGTGAAATAAACTATAAGCTTGTTAATAGGTATTTTGCTACTGCTAACAGAACATCAATTTCATAAAGATGCATTTGGTTATTCATAATATTTCCTTAATATAGATGACGAGACAGAAAGGAAAATTTGGTTATCGACCAAGATATTTCCTATTGATATACAGGTTGAAAATAGCATTCTGCCAATTGATCCAAGATGCTCTAACCATATTTTTCAAGCCTGCAGATCCTATAATTCCTATTAAATCCTGTTCTGGCCATTTATCTCTCCGGGATCGTGAAATTATCCAAGTATGGTTTCCCAGACTAATTGACCAATTAAACAAAAACTGCATCTCCTGCCAACTGATCCCAATGATCCTAATACATTGGAAGCACCAGTGCAGCATGTCATTTATTCAACTGTTCATTTGGCTGGTTTCTGGAGTCCTGTAGCTCAGTGGTTAGAGCACTCGCTTTGCAAGCGAGAGACCTGAGTTCAATTCCAGGCAGAGGGCGAAACCTCGGGCAAGTTTCCTTACTCCACACAGAGCCTAATAATAATCCCTCCAAAAAAAAACAATAATAAATTGGTCATTTTCAATCTACGACTGTTTGTGGGACATTGCTGTGCGCAATTGGCTGCCGCGTTCGCCCACAAATATATAGTCAATTCACTTTAGTGTGCTCTGTGAAGCGCTTTGGGACGTCCTCCCGACGTGAAAAGCGCTATATCAAATGCGAGGATTATTATTATTATTATTATTAAGAGACAGCAATGAATACTTTTTCTTAAAATCAGTCGTAAATCAGTATAAATATCTTAGAACAAGATTTGACCATCAGGAGTGAGTTCTGTAAAAAAAATCATTTGTAAGAACTCAAAATATGTGACCACATTTAGCAGTTAGAGCAAACGTTAAAAGATTTAATCAAAATATTAAAACCACTGTCAAATTTACTGGAGAATCAGCGTTTTCATACAATATTTGGCGCCAATGATGCAAGAAATTGTCTCAAGTTGGAACAAAAAAAATTCTCCATAGGCTTAATATTAGTCTTTTTTGTGTTAAATGCCAATAAATGCTTGAGACACAATCTTACTTACCTACCAAGAAACACAAAGTCAGTCAATTGTACACATCATATGCAAGACGAGACAAAACACTGCAGTGACCTACAAAAGCCCCTTAATTTTTATCAGGATAATTATACTTCAGCTAAACCCCACGCTCCAATACAACTGTAATGATGAGGTTTATCTGAGCTGGTGCCCGTGAACAAAGCCTAATCTCCAATATTAATGTCGGATGAAAACTCTGCATATTTATTAATTTGTACATGTACATGGTAAACCTACATAGATACAGAT